TTTTTTTTTTCGATTAAAGTATAACCCGGTTTCGCGACTCGATTTGCATAATCGTTCGAATTATGAAAATCGTCCGCTTTAATAACAGGGTATAAAGAAAATTTGGCGAAGAACTTTGGATAAGAAAGTTAGATTAAAGCGACCGCTCTCGAAGGAAAGGAACCTGTCGTTAACCGAATTAAAAGCCGAAACAACTTCTCACAACTTTGTTTCATAAATTTTTATTAATTATAAAAATATTTATACCCGAAATATTTTTAAATTCTCGAGGGAATATTCTTTCGACGATTCCAAGATAAATTTAAAGAAAAGAAAAAAGTTCCAAGAAGAAGAAGAAGAAGAAGAAGAAGAAGAATACGAAAGCAAAGGATCGGAGGGAGATCGGAGGGGAATCGAAGGGGCGAAAATGTCTCACCAAACGGTGCAGAAAAGGGCAGAGGTCGGCAGAGGTCCACGTTTAACGCCAATCACCCTGAGGCTTGGATAACCGGCCACTCTCAGGTCCAAGTGGGCGCTGTACAGGAAGAGCTGTCCAGGGATTGTCTCGAGCCACTTCTCGTCGGCTAACTTGAACGTATTTAACGTCGTTCCGTACGTTCCATTACCGTCGCACTCCTTGGAGGGTCTGTAATCGAGTGCCAATCTCCGCGCCCACGAGTAAGCCACGATGCTTCTTGTGCCCGGGGGTACGCCACCTGGAAAATGTGTCAGAGAGATTGAGACCGTGCGATAGTCGCGTGACGCATGCTACGCTCCGCTCATTAACAAGGAAGCGGCGGTGCACGCTTTTCGGCTAATTAATTCGAAGGAACGAGACTGAGGAGGAGGAGGAGGAGGAGAAGGGGATACCGCTTATTAAAGCTACGTCGCGTGAAAGGCATGGCACCCATTCTCGATGTTCGAAGGAACCGGGAAATCGTATCCGCCGGTGGATAATTAGATTCAATCTGTTTAGATAATGTTTACGGATAAAATATTTTAGTTTAATTCTTCGAATGTTACGCACGGTTTACGTGAGTTACATTCGAGCACGTGTGCGCGTATTCAAATGTAGGAAAATATTTTGTGTATTAATAACGCGATCATTAAGGAAGCTTTCGAATTTTTTCGACTGTAAAGATGGACGGATGATACAGTTAATATTTTAATTGTTGGTAATTACGTAATGCAACTGTATCCGGTGTAATCTTCATTAATACACGTTATTTTCCGTTATCTTCGTTTATTCTTATACACGAGTTGGATTTTATTTTGTATCGAAAGTAGAGACGCGAGTTACAGACGCGTTGTCAACTGTATCAAATCGCTGGGAGCGATAATTATTAGCAACGTTCGCTATGAATAGAGTAACAGCCTAGACGACGAGCATCTTAAACCGGACGGAAGTATTACGTCACGAACGAAGCCGGACGTCGTACGTATCGTGAATACGTTTACGTGTCAGTGGACGATCGTGCCACGTTCGAATCGTTCTCTCTCCTCTGTAATTTCTAAGCAATATCCTTAATCCCTGCTCAGCCCCAAGAGACGTCGAAGCGCGTCACCGACCCGAACGCGCATTCGATTAGTTACGTTTACAGGATTTCAATTACCTCGTTTGTTAATCACCCTCTCTGGCAGCGAACACGGAACAGAGAAACTCGTTTCCCGCGTAAAAAAATTCGCAAACGATCAGGAGTCACGACCCGGTACGGTCACGTATTACGTATAATTTTAATTCCTTTTCGCGAGACTCGTTTAATGGATTCAACGATGAAATATGTCGTATTCGTATCGACGCTTTCGCTCGCCTAGATTTTCTTCCCTTATTATTATTTCAATATTATTAATCGAACAGCAGTTGAAAATCTTTCTTCGATCTCCGAAACTGTTTCGTAATTTACGACACTCTACGCGAGTCTCTGCGCGGTATTCCACTCTATCATCGAAATAAATACGTTGACAATCGCTAACAAATCCATCCACTCATTACGAACATTAATCACCGTAACCGCAAAGCCCGAAAGGCAACGCGAACGACACGTTTATAGCCGATATTTCATTCCTTTCTTCGAACCCTATCACTCGCTTAATCACGCGTAAGCCTCCACTTTCCAACCATGTACTCGCGCGCCCATGTACGCATAAAATATCAATTTTCCGTTAATCCTCGAATCAAAGCGGCATCGATTAAATCCTCCTCTCCCATTTCGTGCGATCGTCTCTCGATCGCGTCTTCTTTTTTCCCTCCCCTTCCCGTCCTCGTGCAAAACAATTTGTTCCGATCGAGCGGAACACCGCTCAGGCCTTCATGCATCCTGCCCTTAAAAATTGTGTCTACGCTCGACCCTACAACGACCGCGTGTTGTGCCGATGCCAATCTTTCGCCATCCTCGCTTCCTCCTTTCCCTCGACACGAGACACCACGGTTCATTGGGCTTAGAAAGAGAAAGAGAAATCTTTTTCCGCGTGATTGATCCGGACGAGAATGAAGAGGTGACGGTGGAAAAATTGCGAAGAAAAAAAGCTCGTTTTCCGATACGTGTTGGTGAAACATGCACGCGACGGGCAAAAGTTTGCATTGCGCTTGAGTTTGAATAAATTTTAGTTGGATGGTAAATTATTATACGTATGTAAATTATATATGCTCAAGAGTCGTTTAAAATATATATATTGTTTTTTCAAATCGAAACATATTCGAGGAATATTTATATAGTTGTTCTTAATATCTTATTCTTTTTTTTAATCTCGATTATATAAATTTTTAGTAATTATTTCCAAGATTTAGAGTTTAAGAGGAGTTGGAGAAGAAAATGGTCGATGTGTACGCGGCATTACGTGGAAGTCGGAGAGCGAGATCGGTAGATGAATCGAGCTGTAAATTACGTCACCTAATGAAGTCGCTACCGCCAAGGAACCGTGTAAAGATTTGTGTCCACGATAAGCCCGTGTCACCGCACCGCGGTTGATTTATGGTCCAAGGTGGGGTGAGGTTTTTGCACGCGATTCCAGTCGACTCGATTTCGACGGTTTTCTCGTCGAATTACCTCCACCACTGTCGGTCCTCCGCTCAACGCAATGGAATAGTTGTTCTCCATTGATCTTAATCGATCTAGGTGAAGCGATTTCGAAACACGATTTCGCGGAATTAAATGCAAAAAAAAAAAAAAAAGAAAAGAAAAGAAAAAAGAAATTCTCTCGCGATATTAAAACTGATTAAATATAAAAAACTGATTAAAAATTTAGAGGATTTAAATTTATCCGTCTGTACTCTCAGAATAGAAGAAAGTTTAGAATTCCTTAGGGGGATTCCAGTCGTTCGGTCGTGAACCATAACGCTGAATCCACATGTTCAACTTCTCGCGGACGTTTCTCTCATTGGTTACAAACCGTAACGTATTATACGAGCCACGTTGAATCCCTCGTCGAACAACTTATTCAAAGGGAATCCAGCGTGTAATTCGAAGAGAATTACGCACAAGCCTCGTTAGAATTGACGCGATTAAGCGTAATGGTCCCAACTATGAATCGATGACCGGCGCGCTTGGAATTTTCCTATTCTTTGTCGGCCGCGTCCAACACTGGGAAAGTATTCGTAGATGGGAAATAGTAACGAACGGTAAAGTACAAATCTTCTCTGGGGACTTGGAACGAGAAGAAAATTATCACGTGAGAACGATCCCACTGTTGGAGGTTTCCTTTTCGTATCGATCGGCCGATGAAAAGATTTCCTCGTCGTTTTTATTCTCGCCCCAACTTTTCTTCTTTTCCGTCGTGTCCCTCGGGAATACCTTCCTCTGAAATTATGGCTGGTAATAAAATGTTTACGATTTCATAAAAACGGTGAATAATTACGTTACGACTCGTTACGGATGTATAAGAATGTGATGCGACATCGACGTCCCATAAAGTTGTATAATATTTTTAATAGAGAGACGAATTTATTAAAAAGTCGGAGAAAAATATTTTTCCTTTATTCTATTTACGAATGACGAACGAGATGTAGGTAATGTCGAGCATTTCTTTTTCAACTTCTTCGAGATATTCAAACGTTACGCAATAATCTCTAGAACAAAACAACGATTTTGATACGATTCATCGATTCAAAATTGTTTCGTTCTCTCTAATCGAAGATCTTTAAAGAGAATCGATCGATAAAGAAAACCACAGAGTATAAATCTCTCGTAGTTTTGATATACGCAAATACGCGTATATAGGAAACCGTAATAAATTGAAACGAGAAGCTGTTCAATCAACGTAATCTCGATGACAAGGGAAAACAAATTTTAGATCGTTGAATAGAAAATTGACCGCATAAGTTCTCGTGAAATATCGTTTCTCGAAGCAAGGGAGGCATACGTGTTTCTTTGGCAAATGAGTGTACAGAGAAAGAAAAATGACCTACCCAAAAAAAAAACAAAAGGATCAAGAAAAAATACAGACGTGTCTCTAATCGCTTGCCGCGTAACCTAAGATACGAAGAAAGGGGGAGGAGGGGAGGAAATAAAAGCGGGCATTGTTAGGTGGCAAAGGAGCTGCGGGTTGCGAACCGTTGAGCGATAACGAAAGGGCAAAGGTCGCGCGCTGCTGGAGGCGAAGGAGCGCGGGCAGCGGAGAAAATTGCTTACCAGGCGTGGGAGGAGGATCCGCCGGTGGATCCGGGAGTTGTGGCGGCGAATCGAGCAGAGTCAACACGCACAACGCTGTGACCAGCACCGCGATCAGGCCCACTCTGCACAGCCTCCTCGTTCCCGCGACCGACATATTTTCGCTTCGTCCCTTCGTCCACCCCCGCGTGATCGGCCCCTCACTTTCGATGATCCACTTTCGATCACCTTCCTCCAAGCCTCGAAACGTTCTCGAACCTATCCATGTCCCGCCAACGTTGATTCGCGCGATTCGATCCTCGATTGGGGATCCTCCCAAAGGATCGAGGAATCTCCTCCTCTTCGATAATGGATAAGCAGATCTCTTTCAGTGGAGAAGAAAGGAAGAAAAAGAAAAAAGAATATGCTCGAGTCCACCGTCCCCTCCGTTTGGCCTGGAATCGGCCTAGATTCGGGCCAAACGAGACGACGACGCGACGCGAGATCAGGAAGCGTTTAACGTCATTTTCCGATATCTTGCACTATCTCGACAGGCATGCGCGAGGTTCAGGTTTCGAACGTCACACGATCGTTGGCAGATCCGTTACAGGAATGAAATCGATATCCGCGCCCAAGTGACGCATCACTCCTCCTAGCTATCGCCTCGAATTCGCGGTGAATCGATCAGCGGGATCAGGCTTTTCTGGTTCACGCTGCTTTGCATAACACGCTCCGCTACACTTTCATCGCTCTTAACGCTTCTTCGCGCTGCTCTAATGATCCGCCAGAAGAATCAAACGACACACACGTATCTATGTATACATATATATATATATAAGTAGCGGACTGGTTCACTGGAATCGCGGAAATCTGGAGTTATAGGATGTGGTCGTAGCTTTTAAACGCGATGTTGGCGTGCGTAGCGGTCGTTCGACGTCCGAGATTGAAAGTTGGCACGCGATTCGACTCGACGCGTGGCTTTCCACTTTCCACTTTCCACGATCGACTCGAATCCTCGAAACGTCGAAAACTCGAATTATCTTTCTCCTCCTTTCTTCGTCCGGCTTTCTTTTTCTATCTTCTATCTTCTCTCTTCCGTCTTCTATCGAGAGCTGGATCGATCGATGTAGGACGAACTCGTTTCTTCGCTCTCGAAATCTCGAAGATCGGCGATCATCGAGCGTACCGCGAATCGTCAGGGATGGTAGGTAGGGGTCTTCTCGGAAAAGTGATTCCCGCTCGGAGATCGACAGACCGGTACCAGAGCGTACGGGACGAGGCGCGCGACCAGCCTGTTTAATAGTCGCGCCCGCGTGTGTGTGGGTTCCCCCAAGGTGAGCACACGAATCTGTCCGTTTCCAAGCTGCGTAAAAACCAGCGTGGAAGCTGCACGACCTCCCACGCGACGCTCCCCCGCTTCTCTTCGTAGAAACGGTGGACCATGTATGGTCGCGTTGCCTATCCCTGCCGCTCCCCTCGCTCCCTCGATAATCTAATTAACCTGGTATCTCCGTCGCTTCCAACGTTTTTTGCTGCCGCCACCAAGTTTCTTCTGTGT